GGCTAGCTCAGAGAGCTTGACGATGAACTGCGAGACAGACTTGGGTCCCTTGGTGTCGTTGGAGTTGAACTCCTTGTTACTGAGTTCGCGGAGGATTTCATCGGCAAGCTGTGGGTAGTCGTAGGTCTCGGCGAGGATGTGGAGGAACTCAGCCATGGGCTCGGAAAGGTGCTCGAAGTATGTGAGGTTCTGGACGATGGAGATCTGGGCGGCTGTTGGGAGTTAGCATGAGTGCGCAAGAAAAGCGCCGCAGGGAACGACGAACCGTATGCGTGGCCGTGGTGCTTGACGGCGATGCAGAGCACCTTGAAAGCGTGCATGCGGATGGATGTGCTCTTGACGCGCTGTTCGCTCTCGAGGACCATGTAGACGGGTCGGGTCAACAGGCCGATGAAGGTATCCCTTTCGGAGGTTGTGAGGAAGATCTTGGTTAGCTTAAGCTTGAGGACTTTGCTCATGATGTCAAGAGCAGACTGCAGTTGGGTGGCCGAGTCCCATACGCCGTCCTTGTCTCTTGGCGCATTCTTCTTTGGCTTGCCGCGACCTCTTGCGACTGGTGCTGTTGAGGACTTTTCGGCGGCCTTTGTCTCGACAGCGGCGATGGTCCACTGCAAGAGGAAGCCGTAGATCTCGAGAAGCTGCTTGTGGTGGGCGAGTGTCTCCTGTTCGTCGGGGGACTCGAGGTCGTGGTTTATCGCATCACCCTCGGCTGCCAGACCTGACATGATCAAGTCGAAGATCTTGCTAAGAACCTGTGGCGGGAGGAAGGCGGTGTACCTAGAGGAGTTGAGGAGCTCAGAATGGCGTTCTTTACGGGACCTGGAAGTAGAAGACGAAAAGGAAAAGGAGGACAACAAAAGAGAGGGATCTGAAGGATGAGGGGAGACGGGTGCGCACTTTAGGAGGAACTGCAGTGAGTCGAGATGGGCACTGCGGGTGATGGCCTCGGGGTTCTCGGCGACGGCATCAACGATAGGGTTGAGAACCGGGTTGATGACAGCGGCGGTAAGGCCTTCGGGATCATTTTCGTAGTCGAAGAGTGAGCCATCGGCTTCTGGGGTTGGAATACTGGCGGGATCGCTCATGTAATGCTTGAGCGCATCGTTGATATCGAATGCGACCGAGTCCATGGCTGCGGTCTGGTCGAGGTGTGCGCACCCAGCGACGTAACGCGATGGAGAGGCGGGGAGGAGGGGAAAGAAGATGGAAACCAAAAGGATGAAATAGAACGAGAGGAGGGGTCAAGGTCAAGGTCAGTCGGTGTCTGTGGCCAGCCGTGGTGTTCTCGTGTGGCCTGGTGTGGTGTTGTGTTGCAAGTTGCTGGTGGGTTAGTAATGCACAGCGCCAAAAGAGGAAGCGAAAGAAGGCGAAGGAAGCGCAAAAAAAACGGCCTGTGATGTTGACGATGTGTTTTGGCCTTGCTTGGGTGTGTAATCCGTCAGTGTACTCTGTAAGTAGGTAAGTAATTTGCGGATGGGAGGAGAGTGGAGGGGATGAATGCGCCTAGCAACCAAGCGGGAATTTGTTTATTGTTTTCTTTTGCGCTCCGACGCGACCGGCAGTGTCTGGCAGTTCCATCTGCCACTTCTTTGGGGGGGGGGGGGGGGGGGGTGGGGGGGGGGGGTGGGGGGTGGGGGGTGTTGGGTTTCTTTTTTTTTTTTTTGCGCGGCGGGGGGGGGGGGGGGGGTTTGGGGGGGGGGGGGGGGGGGGGGAAGTCACTTTTTTCTGAGGTGCGGGGTCAGAAGAAGCGAGATGATTGGTCAGCGGACTGTTTTTCAGGGGACCATCACACTGACCACGGCCGCTGTGCCCCTCCATTGCTCCTGTTTGGTGCCATTTGGGTCCATTCGGGGCTCATCCTGGGACCACCCGCGATGTACCTTTTAGGTGGTAGATACCTAGGTACCTTACTTGTACTCGGGGCAAGCCGCAAAAGGACGAATGCGAAGAGAGCCCAGAGAGAAAAAAGAGCCCGCCGACGTGCATCAGATGGGACGCACCAGACCAAAAGAAATCCCAAAAGATTCCCACCTTCATCTATTCACCTGTTCACCTGCTGCCAGATGCAAAGAAAAAGAAATTCCAAAAAACAAGAAGCGTCCAATTATACCCTTGGTCACCTCCCAAGACACCCAGACACCTCACCGTACATCACAGTCCTTGCCTTGTACGCCGCAGCTGCAGACTGCAGAGCACCTACCTATCTCAGGACCGACCTCAGGTACCTCTACCTCGCTATACCTACGTCGCCGTACCAATTCGTTTGAACAGCAAAGAAGTCGATTGTTGTCCAAACTCTACCGAATAATACAACAAACCATTCTCTCAATTCCCTTCCACCACAGCCTCGGATGACGCAGTGTACGACCCAGCGAGATTCCTCAGCTGGCCTCACTCAACCCAACCTGGATGCTATCGATCAATTGACTCGCTTTGGCCAGACCCTCGACGTCCAGGCCTGGCACCGGCACGATTGGGCAACAACACCAACGCCAACTCCGCCGCCACAACACCAAAGCCGCCAGACACACCACCACCACCACCCTCCTCCTCCTCCACAACCACCACAAACACAATCACAACCACCACACCAACAACACCAAAGCTTTCTGCAGCAAAACTCTCAACAACACCACCACCACCATCACCAAACTCAATCACGCACCCATCACTCACAGACATACCAAGCTTCTTCAACGACAGTCCCGGCCCTAGACACTGTCTCGAACCGTACACGCGCGCCCTCTCCCTTCCATGCCCCGGCACTCACCTCTACCGCCCCGGCAGACGTGCGATTGGCCCACCGCCCCATGACCGCAGAGTCGAGACCACAGCAGCACTCCATGGCCACTGCCACTGCCACTGCCACGCGCAAACGCAGCCGCGACGACTTTGAAATCCACCAAGATCCCCCCCACGCCCGCACAGAAGACACCGAGATGATGGCCGAGTCCGAACAACACACCGAAGAGGTCGAGGACGAGGAGGACGACGTCGAGGTTGAGGATCCGTCCGACGAGAGCTCCGATGAAGACGAGGTAGTCGACACGGGTGTCCAACGCGACATGGACCGTTTACAAGACACCTTTCCCGGTTTCCCCCAAAGATATCGCCTAATCAAGAGGATCGGTGAAGGTATGTCACTCTCATGTCGCCCTCCCCGCCTGTTGTTTCTCACTAACACCCCCGCTCCCCTCTGCAGGCACCTTCTCGACAGTCTACAAGGCAGAAGACCTCCAATACGAATTCTATGATAACAGCTGGGATCTCGAAGAGAAGGACAATCTCGCTGCAAAGTGGACATCCCCGCCTCTGAAGCCCAACGCCAGCAACACCTCAGTAACTCGCGAACGTCGCCGCGCCCGATACGTCGCCATCAAAAAGATCTACGTCACCTCGAGCCCCAACCGCATCCTCAACGAGCTCGAGCTCCTCCACGATTTGAGAAACTGTGCCGCCGTCTGCCCCCTGATCACAGCCTTCCGGTCCACTGATCAGGTCATTGCTATACTGCCCTACTTCCGCCATGAGGACTTCCGCGATTACTTCCGCCAGATGAAGGTCTCTGACATGGCCATCTACCTCCGCAGCCTGTTCACCGCCCTCAAGGCTGTCCACGAGCACAAGATTCTCCACCGCGATATAAAACCAACAAATTTCCTCTACGACCCTCAGTCGCGACGCGGTGTACTGGTCGACTTTGGTCTCGCTGAACGCGAAGGTTCTGACAGCAAACCTTGTCTCTGCCACGAGAGCAAAGACGTCCGCAAGCAGAGGATCACCAACAGCGCGGCATCCCAAAACGGCCCTCAACAGGGCTACCCCAAGACAGATACTCGGCCGTCCAGAAGGGCGAACCGTGCTGGCACGAGAGGTTTCCGTGCCCCCGAGGTGCTTTTCAAGTGCACCGAGCAGACGACCAAGATCGATATCTGGTCAGCCGGGGTTATCCTTTTGACAATCATGAGCAAGCGATTCCCCTTTTTCAACAGCGCCGACGACGTCGAGGCCATGATTGAGATCGCCACCATCTTTGGTGTCAAGCGTATGAAGCAGTCTGGCCTCCTCCACGGCTGCATGTTCGAGACCAACATTCCCACCGTCGGCAACGCAGGATTCTCGCTGGGAAAGATCATTCTCTGGTCTACGTGCCGCACCGATGGCGGTAAAGACGGTCAGCCTGGCATTCCCCTGACAGACGAGGAGAAGCTGGCCGTCGATTTCCTAGAGCGATGCATGGAGCTCGATCCTGCTCGACGCATCAGTGCCAAGGATGCGTTAGAGCACGAGTTCCTACGGGAGCCTAAGCCCAAGCAGTCGGTGGAGGTGGATCACGATGACGATGAGATGGATATGCTAGAGGCGTAATGATAATGTTTTTGACACCAAAGGAAAAGAAAAATTTCGATACCAATGGTGAGTGCTTTAGGCCACACTAAGTGAGGAATGGATGGTTGATGGAGTCAGACATGTATATGTACAAAAACTGGACGAACATATGGGATTTGGGAGTACAGAGGTAGGCATATGCCTGAAGGTGGTGGAGAGGCAAGGGCTTGGGAAAAGCATGCATCATATTGAACGGCATAAGACACACGGAACACGCATATACAACAGACAAGACGAGACGAGTAGACGTAAAAAGTAATACCATTCCAAATCGTATCCCGTCCGCCTTATGGAAAACCCAGACACGCCACTAAACATAAGATCCCTGGATATCATCAAAGCCATGAACTTTTTGATTTTGGAAGAGCCTTTCGTTTTTTTATTCGTCAAACTCCTTGGAGGTCGGATCATTATGTAAAAATGAAGAACCGTTTTCCTTGGCCCTTTTCCCGTGCACCCGCAAAGCTTTTGAGCTGCGGGTGACACATTCGCAGAACGCCGTCCGCTTGATGACCCGTGACTATCTCATGTAGCCATCATTGTATTTTACCCCCCAACGAGTGCTGCACATCATCCGTCCAAGAGTTGGTATGATTTGGATTTGACTGAACTTATGCGACGAGCTCAACGACACCACCGGCCTCGGTGATCTTCTTCTCGGCCAGCTTGGAGACCCAGCGGGCCTTGACGACGATGGGGACCTCGGGGAGGCGGCCCTTGCCGAGGACCTTGGAGTAGCCGAAGGGGAGGAGGTCGATGACGGGGACCTTGTCGCCCTTACCGGCGAGGTACTCCTCGCGCTTCTCAGCGGGGACGAGGGTCCAGAGCTTGTCCAGGTTGATGACGGGCTTCCAGAAGTGGCTGCACAGATGTTAGATGGGATCTCTGGGGTATCAGGATTGGGGAACGTACGCTTGCTGCTTGTGGAAGTAACGCATACCAACCTTACCGAAGTAACCTGGAAGAGCGAGTTAGCAAAGCGGTCATGATGACTTCGGAGAGGCAGAAGGACATACCGGGATGGTACTTGTCGAGGTTAGTGCGGTGGTGGTGCTGACCACCGGCCAGACCACGACCACCGGGGTGCTTGCGGTGCTTGCCAACACGTCCGTGACCGGCGGAGACGTGTCCGCGGCTACAGAGAGAAAAAGAGAAAGTCAGCTTCCGGGTACATTTGGAAACGAAGACAATTCTCCCAGGATCGCAGAATGGCAGAGTTGGTGGTACCACGCCAGTCCTATCCTCACATCTCTGCGTGTTTCCACGGAGAGGAAAGAGTCCAGAAGTAGTGTGATGACCTCCTTTTTGCTGGGGAAGCAATGCTGACGCCCTTGTTTTCAACATGCTAAACCCCCTCTGAACCATCGCGCCTGCATGGCATAACGCCAAAAAAGACATCATTGTATGTGTTCCTTCTTTTTCATCCTTCCCATCCCTCACGACGGTTCGCTGGCCGTATCAAGCCATCGAAATAGACTGCGCGCGCGCGATACCGTCGACAAGGGATAAGACCAGATTTATAGAGTCGGAGCGGAGCGGGATTGGTAGACGTACTGCTTGCGGGTGCGCGAGAATCGGGTAGGCATGGCGTCGGCTGTGGGAGTGGTCGACTTTGGTGGTTAGTATCGCTGAGGAACTTCCTGTCAAAAAGTTCGCAAGCAGGAAATTTGTGATGGTGGTGGTGGCAGGCTGGCGGCAGAGCTTCGGGCAATTGGCGGGGCGGAGGGCAGCCAGCCCTAAGGTTGTTTCCCTGGCTCTGGACTAGGAATGAGGGTATTATGTCAGCATCGCATTCTCGCTTGCTCCTCTCAGTTTTTCCCAAGACCCCACTCTGCTGCATCCAGCCCGGTCCATTGCTCACCGAGCTCTTGACCTTTGCCTTGGACAGGACTGGTCCATGCCCCCTCCTCACCGAGGTGAGCTTGATTGGTATGTTTTCTTTTGATGCTGGCCAATGCACCTGGCAACCGTGAGCACTTGCATCCCGCAAATGCGTGTACGTTCGTCGACGATCTGACACTCAAAATACTGTACCCACGAATATTTGGATGCTAGTTTCAAACGGAGTACCCGAGGCCTGACTCTCATCGCGTAATAGCTCGCTCCTAGGGCTTCAAGGCGCTTGCTTGCCTATCTCTGATGTCACTTCGTCATGGCGGACAGCGCCCCCAGTGACATGACTGTCCCGGACGGCATTGACTTCAACCATCCTTACACACCTTATGATGTGCAGACTGATTTCATGAAAGCGGCCTATGGCGTATTGCAGCAGGGAAATGGACAGGTCGGCATCCTTGAGAGCCCAACAGGCACGGTGAGAAGTGATCAACAGCACTTCTAGACACCCAGGTGCTAACACCTCTTTTAGGGCAAATCGCTTTCGCTCATTTGCGCTTCATTAACATGGTTGCGGAATCAGCGTGTTGAGGAACACGAGGCATCCCTCAAAGTCAACATGGACGACTTCAAGGATGAGCCCGACTGGATTGTGGAGCAAATGCTGCGCCGGAAAAGAGATGAACTCGCCCGCACCTGGGAAGAGCGAGAGAAGAAGCTGGAACAGATCCGTCAAAAAGAACAGGCTATTGAAGCTCGCAGCGCCAAGCGACGCCGCTTTGACGATGGCCCCTCGAGATCGAAGCCTCGTGCTCTCGAAGTTGAGGAGGATGCCGAATTCTTGCTTGATGAGCCAGACGCAGCCGGGTCGGCCAATGGCGGCGATGCCATGAGTGGTCTGAGCAAAGAGACAAAAGACATCCTATCCAGGTTCGGCTTGGGAAGTCTCAACGCCAATCAAGAGGAGGACAAGGTCGAGGACGGAGTCAAGGTGCGCAGTGCCCCTGTTGTTGCCGGGTACCATAGTAACATGAATTACATCAGATATACTACACATCAAGAACGCACTCGCAACTCACCCAATTCATCCATGAACTGCGACGACCATCCTTCCCATCATCCGTACCTCAGTCGATTGTGCGACGCCAAAGTGAAGACGACCACCCTGCCAAAGAAGCAGTCAAACACCTGCCCCTATCGTCACGCCAGAAACTCTGCATCAACCCCTCCGTATCGCGCCTTGGCAGCTTATCCGCCATTAATGACCGTTGTGCGGAACTCCAAAAGCCAAAGTCAAAGGACAAGTGCCCTCACGTCTTGAAAGAAGATAATATTGCCGAGACGCATCAGTTCAGGGACACCGCCCACGCCATGTTGCCTGACATCGAAGACCTGTATCATCTGGGGAAGAAGCTGTCTATCTGTCCGTACTATGCATCACGCGCGGCGATTGCTGGTGCCGAGATCGTCACTTTACCATACCCCTTGCTGCTACAGAAGAACGCAAGAGATGCACTCGGCATCAAGCTAGAGGGCAACGTTGTTATTGTCGACGAGGCGCACAATATCATGGACGCTGTAGCCAACGTATATGCATCCGAGGTGAAGCTGAGCGAGCTGAGGAGGGCACGACAGATGCTCGGTATCTACGTCAAGAAGTTTGGCAAGAAGCTGAAGGGAGAGAACCGAGTCATGGTCGGGCAGGTGGGCAGAGTCGTCGAGGGTCTCAGCGAGTGGATGGACGGGCAATTGAAGGCCAAGGTAAGTCGCAACGCTTGAGGCCTTCTGTTTGCGTTGACTAACATGTTGCAGAGTACCCAGGGCATCGTCGACTCCAAAGTTCTCCTCCGCTGCAAGGGAGTGGATCAGATCAATCTGTTCCGCCTGATTCAGTACATCCAGGAGTCAAAACTCGCCTACAAGATTGAGAGCTACGTAGCCCATGTCGAAGAGGAAGCCTCCGATGCAGGCCACGTCAAGGCATCACCGAGATCTTCCACGCCTGTCCTACACATATTATCCTCCTTCCTGATATCTCTCACCAACCTTAGCTCCGAGGGACGCATTTTCTACGAGAAGCTCACTACGAACCCGCCAGATATCCAACTTTCCTACCTGCTACTGTCACCAACGCACGCCTTCTCAACCATTGCCACGAGCGCCAGAGCGGTCATCCTCGCCGGCGGCACTATGTCTCCATTTGACGACTACAAGGACCATCTCTTTCCCTATCTTTCCACCTCGAAACTTACGACCCTCAGCTGCGGGCACGTCATTCCCCCCTCTAACCTCTGTGTCTGGACCCTGGCAGGCACACAGCCCGGCCCAAATCGGGACACCAATTCCACATTCGAGTTCAGCTTCCAGCGCAGGGCTGACAAGGCCATGGTAAGCCAGCTGGGTCTGGCCATCTTGAACATGTGCAACGTCGTGCCTGATGGTGTGGTCGTGTTCTTCCCCAGTTATGGGTACCTCGATGAAGTCGTTGCAATTTGGGATAGCCGGACTGTTGGGGAGCCCAAGTCAATGTGGCAGCGCCTTCAGGAAAGAAAACAGGCATTCAAAGAAACCCGCGGCGGATCCAGCGACGAGGTGCTGGAGGCGTACAGCCAAGCCATTTTAGGTGATGAAACCGACAGAATACCGGGAGCGCCACCCAAACCTCGAGGTGCCCTGCTACTCAGTGTAGTCGGCGGTAAGATGAGCGAGGGCATCAACTTCTCCGATCGCCTGGGCCGCTGCGTCATTATCGTAGGTCTGCCATACCCAAACATCAACTCTCCCGAATGGAAGGCCAAGACGGAATACATCGAGACCACGACTGTCCAACGACTGACGGATCCCGCGGGCGCGACGAAGATGTCGAGAGACGAGGCGTTGGTGGTCGCGAAACAGGCGGCTAGGGACTTTTACGAGAACGCTTGTATGCGAGCCGTCAACCAGAGTATCGGGCGGGCCATCAGGCACATGGGTGACTATGCAGCCATCGTACTTGTGGATCGCAGGTATGGAACGGAGAGGATCCGGGGCAAGCTTCCTGGGTGGATTCGGGGCGGTATGAATGGTGATAGTCACGAGAAGGGGCTGCCTCAACTGATGGGAGCCCTGAGTGGGTTCTTTCGGTCGAAGAGGACTGGAGCATCGTGATGGTTCGTTGGCATCATTGATGTGTACTATCTAGCGTATAGACCGTATTGTATATGCTCATGGGCTGGCGACTTTCCTGTCATGATGAAGTCCACGTGAGGAAGCCAACTGAACCGAAGTACACGTAGGAGCACCAAATAAGCCTCCTATCTATTCCCAGACCCCAGCCTAATCTTACCGGGTGCAAGGATGCACTCAGAGCGCAGTTCTGGACACTTACCTAAGGACTGGACTCAACAATATCGATCTTGATCACGGGAGTCTCGAAACGACAGAAGTCGAGGCTGGCCTTATGAGGATCACGTGGTGTAGTAGGCAGCGTTGAATCATGTAGTTTCTGGTGCAACCCGGCAATAATAGCAATGTATCGCATGCCGCGGCAGTAGGCTGCAGGCGAGGAATGATGAATCATGGCATTGTATTCCAGGTCGAGCGGCGAGGCTGTATAAAGACCGTCGAGTGCGTTCCTGTCACCAGCCTCCAGGCGGCACCCTAGGTCGGGGGATCAGGACACACTAGCTGGGTGGTGGACTCCTTTTGGGCCCTTCATGTATCGCCGCATCTGTGTAGTACTAGGGTGTTCCCTCAAGTCTGGATATGCAAAAGATTTATTTGTGGTGGTCAGGGGTTCGCGAATTATTCAAGTTCCAAATCACGATTCTAAAACATTTGACAAGTAGTAAAAAAAGTTGAGAGATACTTGATGAAAGGACATTCCATCTGAGTCAATCTAGAATCGGCAATTATACAGTTACAAAAGGCAAAGCCACTAATTTGATAAAGGAACGACTTAACGTTGGCTTGGAATATAAGGTAGGAGAACATCGGCGGAAGGAGCTCCCGTCATTGACTCCCGGAGCGGCACTCCGGCGAAAATCGCAAGCTCATTGGACGAGAGGCCTTCTGCTGTTATGTCAGCAGGGGGATTGTTATGTCAGCAGTCATACGGCACCAGTCCCCTGTGGCACCCCCACTTGATCCCCATAACGGTACCTTAGTGGTGTAAGCCGTAGTGAATCTCATTCTTGATTTTCCTCTTTCCATCCCACCTCAAATGCGACTGTTGCTGTTCAAATTCGCGGCCTCGTGTTACCCTACCGTAATTCGGTTGCCTGAAATGGCGTCTATCCCGTGACTCACTGCAACGAAACAATGAGGCTCTTGAGCACTGTTCATGAAAGCCGTCATGAGAAACGGGCAGGCTATTGAACCAGTCACTCACTCACTGAACAAGAAGCTGATTGTCATGACTCTCAGAGGTGTACATCAGCCCTCTCTGGCACTCGCAGCGGGAGCCGACGTGGCATAGCTACCTACCTACCTTACACCCCGCAGTTCTGGTGTTTTTGAGGTTCCATAGTGAGAATCCTACGCTACCTCGTCTAGTATTCTCTGCATACGCCGTCTCGCCGCGATATCCACCGGGCCCCAATGAGCTGACGAGCTGACCTCAGTGACCTTGACCTGAGCAGGGCTTCGTCTTGTCGGTTATGTCACGCGTCGCGGTGACGGTTTGCAGCTTGCGGCTTACCATGCATTCACCGCCTCATTTCGCCTCGTCTGGCCTGGCCTGAACAGCCTTGACTCTGAACAGCCTGCCGACCTGACCTTACAGACTGAACAAGCTGTCTTCCTGGCCTCGGACTGGTTGGTCGACTTTGATTGCACAGCTGCCCAAGTCTCCGCAAGCTTACTCGTACCTTACTACTTGTAGAGTACGAGGTAAGGTAGATCTACCCCTCGTCACTCCCGATCTCTCTCACGCACGTCTCACCACCACCACCACCACCTTCTTTAACCTTGCCTTGGTACTTTAAAGCAACTTGATCTTAGGTGCTTACTTCCTTAGTTGTAGCCACTCGGTCGCTCCCGCGCTCCTTCCGTTGCCTTAGCTTGCGGTTTCAACTTTTTTGGGCAGTTGCTTTCCCGTCCACCGTCATCTCGTCCCTGCCTCTTTTCAAGTACCGCCTTAGGCCAATCTGAGCTGCAACTTCTGGCCAAAACCACACCCCGCCAAAGTGGGTGACGAACTTCACTTCTACTACTTCTCTTCGTCGTCCTCCTCCTCCACTACTATTGGCGTTGTTGTGATTGCTTTGTCCTCTGCATCTTCACCTCGGAAGAAACCCCTTGCGAATATGGGCGGTTCCGATGCCATCGATCGGCGATTTGCCGACGTCCTAGACAAAGCTCAGAAACAGTATGCCGATTCCCAGGGGGGGATTGATCTCACGGCTTACATGAGCCCGCCCATCAAGTCCACCGAGGACCTCATGGGACTCATTGCCGACGAGAACAAAAAGTTTCAAATGTTTCGAGACAAGCGCAAATACATATTCGACCACCTAGCGGCCGCTTGCAAACCTCTCGAGATTGCCGGCGAAGCATTAGCAGGGGCGGCTGAAAGTGTTTTTCCACCAGGTCAGACCATCTTCGCAGTCGTCGCTTACCTTATCAATACCGCCAATGGTATTAGAGAAAACTACGATGTCATCATTACTTTATTTGAACAGGTCAAGGACTTCACTATTAGATTCAGATTCTACGTCTCCGAGGAGATGTCATCCGAACTACAGGACAAGCTCGTCGAGGTTCTCGTCACCGTCTTCGAAATTTTCGTCATCGCCGCACACGAGGCAAAAATGGGCCGTCTCAAGCGCTTTGTCAAGGATTTGTTCGGCAAGGGAAGCAAGGTATCTGATGCCATGACGAAGCTGGCTTCCCTCACCGAGAGCGAAGAGCGCCTGGTCATCGCAGAAACCAGTGCTGGCGTCAAACGGTCCCTTTCAAATGAGCAGAAGCTCCTAGAGATGATGTCAAGAGTCGATGTCAACGTCCAGACCCTGCGCAACGAGACTCGCGTGCCCCAAACGAGAGAGCAAGCTCTTTCTTCCAATAGAGACAAACTCAAGAAGATTCTCCAACCCTCCGTTTACCCCGTGGATACCTATACTGCTCTAGATAGGACGCGCACCGCTGGCACCTGCGAATGGATTCTGCAAGACCCTGCTCTCCAGGCTTGGATAGCTGGCGATGTTCGTTTCCTCTGGATTTCTGGAAATCCCGGCACAGGAAAGTCATACCTGACCTCTCGTATGGTGTCGTGGGGCCGAGATCTGCTCGACGAACAGCAGACTACCAGCATGATGGGTTACTTTTTCTTCCGCCAGAACAACCCTGAATCTAGATCCGTGGTCCAGGCTATCAAAGACATGGCATACCAAATCAGTGAGCAAGATGTCTTTTACGGCAAACAGCTCGTCCAGAACATCTCTTCCAGCGATGAGATCAAGACTGTCTCGAGCGCCTTTCGGAAATTACTCGAGGACCCCTGCAAGCCAGACAAATGGAAGAGACACATTTATCTCCTTGTGGACGGCCTAGATGAAGCCGAGCCGAGAGAAGTCACAGAGTTCTTATCACTGCTGTACGGCCTGAACAAGCAACAATCGACTGGAACAAGAGTGCAGGTTGCTCTGGTTGGACGGAATACTCTTACAGAGGAAGTTCAGGAATCGATGGGAGACGAATCTATCAGCCGATCGCTTCTTGTCACACCCGACCGGAATGGGGCCGACATTGAGTCGTACATCAAGGAGGGCATCAATCGTTCTCGCATTCTTCGAAGCTCCACACAAAAAGAAAAGGACAAAATCATCGATGCCATGATCAAACAAGTCGACGGTCTTTTCATTCTGGCCAAGTTCATGTTGACTGAGATCAACAGAAACAGACACCTAACGGACATTGCCAACAGCTTGAAGACCTACCCCAAGGAGATGAATGGAATGTTGACAAAGACCGTACTCGATTTCAGCACATCCTTCACCCAAAGAGATGCAGACGATCTGAACGAAATCTTGCGTTGGGTCTCGGTAGCTGAGATGGGCCTGACCCTCCAGCAAATCGAGTCTTTTCTGGCCCTTAAGATGGGAGACGCCCCGCTGGACCTTGAAGGATTACTGAGAGGCAAGCTCTCCTGCTTCTTCACACTCGAGCGGGAAGATGGGCTCTCGACAGCTGATCTCATTGAAAAGCACGAAAGAAACCCCCGGTTCGATTCCTTGGACACTGATGTAATCAGGGAGATTCAGTATGATTCAAAAAAGAGCACAACCTATGTCAGCTTCTTTCATGATTCCGTCAAGGAGTTCTTCCGAGGAGACTCATCAACGAATCTCAAGGCACCTGGCGCGCAGTGCCCGTCCATTGGGTTCCATCTTGCCGACGCGAGACTGCACGTTCTCAAAACCTGTTTGCGGATCTTCACTGACCCAGCATACTTTACTTTGGGCAAGGATGGACTCTCTGCGCAAAGGTACGCTGCCTGGTACTGGCAAGAGCACTTGGACGACGTCGATGTCACCGCTATCTCTAAATCTGAGAAGGCCGACATCGGCATACGTCTCTTCACCATGATGACCGACCCGGATATCCTTCTTACCTGGACGAACCTGTTTGAGGAAAGTCTCGACATCTGGACTGACCATAATATCGAGATTGTTTCTCAGTGGCTGAGAGATGCCGATGCCATAAGCTCTCTGACTCCGGAGCAGAAGGAGTGGACCAAGTCGGCGACAGCAAGCCCTGCAAAACTGCTTGAACCTATGGGGAGGACGTTCGCCAAGGCTTGGCTTGGCGAAGGCTCTCGAGTATACATGACGACGTTGTTCTGTTTCGGTGTCGTCCAGTCACTGCCGCTGCTGGAGGGGGGCGGCAAATGGTCTGATTCCGAATATCACTGGCAGGATGTGTCACTGGAAACGAGGATCCAGCAAGCCGCCGACTGGGCGAACCAACCTAAAACGGGACATTGGCTACGGAGAATCGGTAGTACTCTCTTGAACTTGGGAGAGCACACCAAAGCACTGGAATACTTCAATAATGCTTTCGAAAAGGATGGTAACAAGGCAGAAAGCTTTGGCCGAATGGGATTGTGTCACGGCCTGAATGGCAACTACGGAGAGGCCCTGAGACTACATCGTGAATGCGAGTCGTTG